TTGTCACGGACGTCATCACACGCCACATCCAGTATACGTTACTGTATGCTGACGACGCGCTCCTCGCCTCCACGGACAGGATCGGCTCGTCCGGATGCGGTGTAATCGCCTCGCACGACACAGCCTCCGACTGAACCCGAGGAAGACGGAGTACTCGACGACAGACCCGACCGAACGAGGCGTCGGCCTTCCCCGAGCCCAGCGCGTTAAATATCTTGGGTCTGTCGACAAATATCTCCGCTTACGGTGACTTGTGCCACGAGGCAGTCGCGCGCGTCAACGCCGCCTGCCCGAAGTGGCGCTCAATAATTATCCAGTGTGCTTCGCGACCGACGCATTAAGGACCGACTCGAGTCAAAGATTTACCAAACCGTCGTCCGGCCTGTCGCTCTGTACGGCAACTACGAAGGCCGTCGACCGCCGACTAGCTACTATGGAATTTGCGTTGGACGAGTGGTATTACCAGACCCAACCGAGTTCTCGACGCTGACATCAGAGCTTTGAGTACCCGGTACGGCGTTGCTGAGATCGGCGAGAAAGCGCGCGCGTGTCGCTCGCGCCTCTATGGCCACGCGCTCCGCGCTGACGCCGATTCCATCATCCACACGGGCCTACATTCGGAGGTATCGGGTTCCCGCCCGAAGCTGCGTTGGCTGGACAGGCTAAACCACGACTGGCGAGCCGTGGGCCTACATCCAGACCAGGCCCGTAATCGGGCCAAATGGCGATTCAAAATAAAATCCGGGTGTGCCGACCCCGCCGTCAAGCGGGACTAAGGCCAATGAGGAAGAAGAAGAAGAACGATTCGTATGTCTAAATTAACATTCATTCTTATTCGTACATTACGCAAACAGTCGATATCTGTACGTTACGTTAAAAAAAAAAAAAAACATTTTATTCCTTTCTTTATCATAACAATTTAAAATATAGTATTTCATATACAGTATATTAAATTCACTGTACGTTTAGCAGAGAAGATATCGAACGATCCTTCACGCGACGGTCCAACGTCGAAAAGATTAAAACGCGTAGACTTACACGAAACTCGGAGGCAACCGAGTTGGATTTCGGATCGGATCCTCAAGCGTTTTCGCCAATTGTGATCCATAAATCGGACTCCGTTCTTCACCACTTTCTGGTTATAGATAAAACCACACGCGTGGGCACCCGCAGATAGTATTGTCCTTCTCTGGGATCTGGGATTTAATGACAGGTGTAATATCAATATGTGGGGGAAAATTCCAGGAACGATTTTTATATTACTTTCCGGCTCTGTTATAATAACAGAGGAAAAGTATGGCGAAGGGTCAAAAAATTACTCCGGAAGAACTTTACATTTTTGGACTCGGGGACGTGAAGCGTCGAGAAATGCAAAAAAAAATCGGGGTGTTTTTCTGTTTGTACGAATGTTTGTTAGGGCACGATTTTGTTCACTCTGTTTGAAACTTAATAACTCCTCTGCTTTTGTCGAAAATGTTTGAAATTTTGTACGGAGATTTGTTTATTAGAGGATTGATGCTATTAAATTTTGGTGGTTAAAGGTCGACGGGGTGGGGAGATAAAGGGATTCGTGTGTCGTATCTCGAGTAGGGTCGGACTTAATGACGATTTTACTCGTTATCTGCATTTACAATTTTTTTTATAAAACCCATCCCTATCCTCAAAATTAAGCTTTTTGCCATTTTATAATACTGTAGTTAAAAATATAAAAAGCTTTTAAAATACAATATCGTAACAGATGGCGCCACCAAATGTCGCCGGAAAAGTTAAGCGACTCGTTGCTGGATTTTCTCTCATCGTTATCATTAACTACTGAAACACGCATAAATTCCAAAAGCTATTCTTCGCATCGCCATCGTTAAGTGTGCTAAGAAGCCAGTTACTCGAATTTTATCCAGTGCTGCAATTACACTGCTTTTGCCGACGTTTTACACATTTCTATAGTCTATGAAATTTCCTGGTACTTAATGCTAGTTTACCGCTTGTTATATTTGTTCGGACTTCCTCGCTGTTTTAGATCTCAAAGTGATTCTATCATCGGGATTCTTATTCATACTTTCCAGCATAAAGTGTTCTTGACAAACGATTATTAATTAACGAAGCTTCGGAAGTCTCATTTTTATTTGTGACAGTATTGCGTTTATTTTCTTTAGTCGTTGATGGATACTTCTTTATAATCTGCCTAGGATGCGACTACTTCATTTACCAATTAATATGTTACGGCGATTATCCCGATTCCGAAATGGAAGAATTCGAATGCGGCCACAAATTCTGTCTGAATTGCTGGGAAGAATATTTGAGAACCAAAATACTAGTATGAATAAGAATCACGAGGATAGAATCACTTTGAGATCTAAAACAGCGAGGAAGTCCGAACAAATATAACAAGCATTAAGTACCAGGAAACTACCGCTCACCGATGCAATTCGTTAATAAACGACGACGTGGTCCTCAAACTTTCGAGGGATATCAAGGTTCGCGTAAGATATCGGCACCTGATCTCCGATTGCTTCGTGGAATGCAACCGCTTACCGAAATGGTGCCCGAGACCCGAATGCACCAATGCCGTTAAAGCTCGGTACGTCGATTCGCAGCCGGTCACGCGTACCCGCGGACATATATTTTGCTTTTCCTGCACCGAAGCCTGACAGGAGCCAGTCATTTGAGACCCGCTTCGGAAGTGGCGGAAGAAATCCGACGACGACGACTGGAACACGTCCGATTGGATCTCCAGCAACACCAAAGAGTGCCCCAAATGCCGCGCGTTATAGAAAAAGACGATGTACGCAACCGCATCGTATGCGAGAACCAGAACTGTAGAACCGAATTCTGTTGGACGGGCCTCGGACCGTGGGAACCACGCGGTTCATCCCGGTACAAATGCAGTCGTTACGACGACGAAGCGGTAAAAACGACAAAGAACGCTTTAGAGAAATCTCAAAAGGCTCGAAGAGATGTCTCTTTTATTACAATCGTTACAGCAATCACAAGCAGAGCTTCAAATTGGAACAGAAATTATACGACTCGGTCGTCGATAAAATAGAAGAAAGAAAGGAAATATAGAAATGCGATTCCTAAAAGAAGTGTCGCCGCTGCACTTTGATGTACACGTACGTTTTCGCTTACTACTCGAAGTGATTTATTATAACCAAAGCGAAATATTTAGACAATCGGAACGACTTGGAAATGGCCACCGAATATTTGGAAAAGAATTTGAGAAAAAATATTCCTCGCGAAGATCCCAGGAAACTCAAACTGGAAACACAAGACAAGTTTCAGTACTGCGATAAACGATGTTAAAAGATGCGGGGTGCTGATAGAACATGTCCGCGAAGATTACGACAAGAAATGGTGGAACACTTCGAATGAAATTGCTCAGACTTTCGATATTTAATCGATTTCGTAGATTCTACGCCGAAAATATAATGAAAAAACAATGCTCTTTTGTTACGCAAGTTTTAACATTTTTATAACTGCGTTATCCTAAATCTTTATCCAATAAATGTTGATTTGTGTAAAAATTCCTTAAATTTTCCGTTCTTGCTCTTTGTTGCATAAATTGAGGTTTATAAATCCGGTATTACTTTTCCGGCTCTGTTGTATATAACAGAGGAAAATATGGAGATCGATCAAAACGACATCCGAGATTTTTAAATTTTTGGATTCAGGGACCTCGAAACGTCGATAAATGCAAAAAGTTCGGATTTTTTTTTCTGTGTATGCATGTTTTCGTGTGGAAGAGCACAATTTTGTCCACCCTCTTTGAAATTTAGTAATTCCTGTGCTTTTCGTCGAAAATTTCTAAAATTTTGCACGGGGATTTTTATAATAAGATTAATGTTATTAAATTTTGGTAATTATATATCTACGAAGTGGGAAGATAAAGAGGGTCGTGTAGATAAAGACTCCAGTATGGTCGGACTTAATGATTTCACTCGTTATTAGCATTCATCATTTTTTTTTTATAAAACCCATCCCCACCCTCAAAATTAAGCCATTTTATAGTAATATTAATTAAAATATAAAAAGCTTTTAAAATATCATAACAGATGGCGCCACCAAATTTGCCGAAAAAGTTAAGTAACTCACTGCTGTATTTTTCTATATAGCGTCGTGTTTTAACACTGTACCCTTTTTTCAGCAGTCTAAAACCAACCGAACAATCTTCAATGGTGGTTAAGCTCGAGTTCGATATGGCGTCTTTAGTGGGAAATGTTCAAATTTAGTGGAAACTAGTCGTGTCTGACTTAGCGGCAGAGTAGCAAGTTTCGGATTATCAAACTACTGTAGCTAACGGCAGGATTCCAAATTGCATTGTAGTTTCTAAACTTACGTTAAATTCAAAAATCGAGCTTTTTAGTCATTGCTTTGTATGAAAAACACTAATGTAATTATATTTTAATGGTAATCAAGCGCGTACCCAGCGAAGAGCAGCTCCTCCTCCCTAGAAGAAAAATTAGTGTAGTAATTGATACGCAAACTCAGCGCAGACGTTTCGATTTATTATCAGTTTGAATAATGATTTTGATTAGATCCGTCTGTCGTGAAATCTCTCCCCCTTCCTCGAAACTAATATAAGTTGCTCGCCTCTAAGATCCTGGGTACGCCGCTGGTAATCATCGTTCCAAGTGTTTCCTAGCGCTCATACGCTGTCGGTCGTACTACCGAAATACAGTTCTACAACTCAACTAGTTGTTAAACTAGCTCCGTAAAACTTATCTGTAATATTTGTACAGAATTTAATTTCTGTACTATATTAAATTTTGTATGGATCGAGCACTTATAAAAATTAACGCAAAATATTGTTACTTTGCATTAGAATGAGAATAAAAATCATATTTTTGTCATTTGCATTATTATGGAATGAAGATTTCAAAAATCCCATTTAAACAACAAATAATTTTACACAAATCTGCTTAATTTTCAGAATCCATTTCACTATAATTAAAATGTTGTATTCAAAACGATGTTTAATCGAAATAATATAAACGTTATCAAAGTATTATATATAAAATATACTTTAATAGTTCTTTTGCGTATTATACAAAAATCAAAATCCAGGCAATATCCTTCCTTTCTTTTTTGCTCTTTTGATTTTTTTATTAATTTTCTCCTGTTTTTTTGCTTTGATGTTCTCCCGACGTTTCTGTTCTTTCTTTTGTTTGAATTTTTCAACTGTTTCTTTTCTTTCCTTCCATTTTTTCTGGCTCTTCCTTTTCATCTGTTCCTGTTTCTTGATCGATTTCTTCAATAATTCGGGATTATCTTTTACTTTTATTCCTTCCGCTTTGTCAATGGCTTTCAACCAATTCTTTTTTTCTTTTTGAACAAATGCCTTTTCTGGATCATTAATTTCCATTGTTTTCAACTCTTCTTTTTCTTTCAGTGTCTTTTTCAGCAGCTTTTTATAATTTTTACCCGAATGTTTAGATGCTTTTTTCTCAGTTTCTGGAAAATCAAATTTGCTAAAAACCATTTTTTTGTCTTTGTTGTATATTGGCTTATTACTTTCCATCTTTTTTTCGTCGGTATTTGTAGGAAATGCAATAGAATTGTTATTATTATTATTAAGCTTTATTCTTTTTGCAGATTTATTATTTTTTAACTTGTTCATTTTTCTTTTCCATTGTTTCTGTTCCACGTTTGTTTCGTTTGTAGATGTTCCTTTTCTTTTAGCTGTAAAAAAAATATTCTAAAATATTCAATAAATTTTTTTAATTTTAAATACTAAGACACATTATTACTGGTACAAATATTCGTTATAAATAATTTTTCAAAACTATTTTCAGTTTGAATATTTATATATAAATAATAAAATAAATAAAAGGTCTTCCAAAAAGATGCTACCATTTTAAATTATTATAATTATGTTAATTATCATCTGAGAATATTGTAATGTGCATTAAAACATTGGAAAACTGTCCAAGTTCCACATTTGCCCATTACACTTTCTCAATGTTTGCACCTCGTGTCACTCAACCCACATCTGACCGATACTGGAATTCTTCCTACACTCACTTCGGCATATTCACTGTCATTCCTCCTTAGCAGGCACAATTCTATAGCTCCTGCAGAGTACTCGTGTTGCGCAATGATGGGTGAATATGGCTTTGTAAACTGCAGAACACACAACGCCTTCTCTGTTGTGGAGCATTTAAAGCATCTTCTAGAGGTTTGAATGCGGATGAGAGATGAAATTGGGACGGTTACTTTATCGATCGATGAGCATCGCGTACTTCTCGAGTAATAATTTAAAATGACAAATTCTTTTTGGAAAATCCTACATATATGATTTAATCAATATATCATTACTAATATTTACATTTAATTTTTAAATGAAGATACTTATGTCTTTAATTTCATAAACTAATAAATGTAAATATTCAGCAACCATAATATTATCTCGATTCTTTATTTAATGTCTAAAATGTTTATTATTAATAATAATAATAAAATGATAATATAAAAATCTCTCATAGCAACATTGACTCTTCCTCACAAAGAGGGAGTCCTCACTGTCAACATAACAGACTCCAACATACATACATACATACACACTGAATTTTTCTACCCAAAAAGGTATTGCCACAATTTCATAAAGTAATAATTCTAGCAGACAAATTAAACACCACTAGTATATACAACTAATATTTACATAATACAGAAAAATCAAAACAGCATGAAGCAGTCGTGAGTCCAAGAGTTTTGTGGTAAAATTTAAATTAGAATTGTATTGAGAAAACAATATAAAACTGTTGGCTGGCTTAGTACTACTATTTTGGAAAGACTGACAAGTCCAAGGTTGTAATAAAAACACACTAAAATACATCATATACAGTATATATTACTAATATATACATACAGTAGAGCGCCGTTTATCCGAATCAATTGGGGACTGAGGTTGTTCGGATAACCGATTACGTACTAAAAAATATATTAACCTGTCCCGTGTTGAAATTTTTCTCCGTTGCGTGTCGCTTCGCGTTGAATTTTCGTCGATGTTAAGCCTAACGTATAATTTTTAAAATAATAATCGTGGCTATCGTATCGTTAAAAATTATTTCTTTATTTTTTACAAACAAAATAAATATATTGAAAAAAATAAAAACAATAAAAAATTATACTTCAGAAGTTAATTTAGTATCAAAAACGTAAAATATTTGAGTAGCCGAAGACATAGCCAAAGATTACAGCGCCACAGCACTGGCGAAAATTTAAATTTGTCGACTGGAATTCCTTCNGTATTTACTTTTAATATTACTGATATGTCATCGAAAAGAAAACGTGTTGTATTATCATTAAAAGACAAATTAAAGTATTTGTTTCGATTATCCGGATTTTTCCTTATCCGGACTACCTTCATCCCCAATTAGTCCGGATAATCGAGGTTCTACTGTATATATTATGATGTACTGTACAAAGTGAGAAAAAAGTCTAAAAAATTTTAAACATTCATAAAATATGGAATTATCAGAATGAAATGTGGTTTGCATGATAAGTATTGTAAGCAAGGAAATTTTGTTGAAATAGGAAAAAAATTACTTCCAAAAACTTTTTGAAACTAATTTTTGGTTTTGTTCTTGATATATCCATCTGTTTTTGAATAATGTCAGCGTTATCTGCTAATAACTTGGATAAAGTGTGCTTGATACAAAGTTTAAAATTAATAGATTGTTACTTGCTTTAAAAAAGACTTGAATACACTTAGCATTAATTGGATAACCCCAGCTTCATCTGATTCACAGACTCTAGCCATTACATACATATGTACAGTACAGTAAGTACACATGAGCACACACATTTGCACGCATTGACAAAAAAGTTACGCACTCGTTCTGATTACTGCAAAACTCAGCATACGGCACCGTATCAGGCAGATATGCAAATAATTACAGTTGTGGTTCGATTGCGTGCCAGGTAACACCTCAAGAGTGCCTTAAAATTGCTATCTCGGCATTCTATGAAAAGACTTTGCGGAGACTCGGTGTATGTCACAATTTTCAACGTATCTGTTGTTTGAAGATCTTCAAATGCCAGGTATGTCTGTACAATGCAGCCAAAGACATTATACACTGCTGACAAAGTTTGACAAAAGCCACATCATCTAGCTGAGGGAAGTAGGATGGCAATTTTACAGAAGTGTTTATCGTATCGACCATTCTGTCCTATGAGGTAGTGTTGAGGCAGTGAAGTCGGGGCACGGTCAGTCGGTCGGTCTTTATTTAAAGTGCATACGCACGTATCTGGCCCCGCTAGGTGCATTACCAGATAAGTATACGTAGGAATTATTTACATATTAACAGTACAAATCAATAGCACACAAAATATTACAGTCATTTGAAGTAATACAAGGGAAAATAATATAAATACAGTTTTACATAATGCAATAAACAGTAACATAATAACATACAGGATTTACAATACGATATACAGTAGACTATTCAAGTATAATATATTGTGGTATACATATTAATAAGAAATTAAACATACTGATAGTAGATCAAATGTTAACAATTATTGATGGTTATTTCCAGTTTTGATAACAAACATTAGAATAATAAAAATGCCTAAAATAACAAGGTAAATGTGATAATTAACAATAACATGTAACAATAGTTAAACGCTGTATGTATCACATAAGTATGTATTGCATATAACAAAATA